AGGGAGTGGGCTAGGATGAGGTCATTGAGGTAGGCAGGGGCCAGATTGTGTAGGGCCTGTGGGTCATTGTAAGGAGTTGGGATTTATTTTAATCTGGATGAAAATCCATCGAAGGATTTTAAACAAGGGGATAATATTCTCTGTTTTACTTGTTAAGTCACTTTAGTTGCTGTTGGAGAAGCAACTATGGGGGAAAAGGCAAAAGTAGGAGCAGAGAAACTGGTGTGGAAGCTATTGAAGTAGCCCAGGTGAGAAAAGATGGTGACTAAACCTAGGATGGTGGCAATAAAGCAGGTAGGATGTAGTTGGATTTGGGATGTATTTTAGAGACAGAGCCAACAGGACATGCTAATGGGTTGTCTCAGCAGAAATTCAGGATAGCAGAAAGGAGAAGAATATAGGATGTTTGAGCAACTGGGTGGATGGTGGAACTGTTTATTAAGATGGGGACGATTGTGGTGGGTAGGTTGGAGGGAATGAATCAAGAGTTCTCTTTTGGTCATGCTGAGAGACAGGACACAGAGTGATAGGTAAAGCTCTAAGTTCTGATATGCTATCCAGGCCCCAGAGAAAGGGTTCAAGCTGATAAAAAATATTATTGGGTTCCCCAGGTAAGAAGTCAGGCCACCTCTGGATTGCCACACAGATCTACTGCTAACATTTGAGGGGTCTGGAGCAAGGATATAAACAAATGCTCCTGGCCTGTGGCATACACACCTTCGCTCCCCTCCCTGTATGGACACTGCAGCCCAATTGTGATGGCCCTGGTCCATGTTCCCAGGGGCAGAGACTTCAAGCGGCCACATTCCCTTGGCCCTGTAGACATTTTGCCAAGTGGGTTAGCATTGGCCAGAGGAGAGCCCCAGAGGAGCCCTGTATAGCCCAGGGCTCAGGTCAGGAGCCCTGATTCCCTGGTTCCAAGGGAGATCCTGCTGTAGGCTCTAGTAATTTGTTCCAGTCTCTCCCCCTATCATGATAACTGTATAAATAGAGCAGTAGGAAGCTCAGGGCAGCCTTGTTATCAGCCCCATACAGGCTCTGTATTATTTCAGAGACAAGTAAGAACGGAAGCCTGTAAAGAAAGGAAGTAAAAGTGAGGAAGGCAAGCCCAACAGACTGTGAGAGACTTGAGAACAGTGGCCACATCACACCCAAACTTGAATCCTCAGCACAATGCCTGGAGCTTACTAGGTGTATGGACACAGCTTCTCTTTCCCTCCCCAGCTTTATACACTTTGTGGGCACATCTTGGGAAAGTACCAGGGAGGAAGATTTCACCATTTTCACCAACTCAGTGAGAGCCCAGCCTCCACTGGTCCTTGTTTCTCAGTTGAGTGGGATAAATTTCACTGTGTGACCCAGCTTTTTGGTTCTTGTTCTCTTGGATTTGCATGCCCACAAATGGAGTCCATTCTCCACTCCTTCTTCACTCCTTCTCCTCAGAGTAAGCTTGCCAAGGCAGAGCACCCATACTCTTCTCACCCGCTGTTCCCCCAACAAAAGGAGGGAGGCCTGCTGTTTCCCAGTTGTGCTATTTCCATTCAAAGAGGGAAGAAATATTAGCCCCACTTTCAGCCTCAGGTCTAAGATACAGTTCTTGGTCAGTTCTCCAAAAGCCAGTTTTCTAAAGGCCAATTCACCAAAGGCCAATTCATCAAATGGCCCAGTCTCCAAAGCCCTAGTCACTAGAAGTCTGATGTGGGTCTTTTCTGTATCTTCCTTGTCTCCTTAACATCCTGATGCTTTCCTTCACCTTCTTGAGCATATTCATGTTTACCCTTTTAATGCCACTGTCTACTAATTTTATCATCTGTGTTATTTCTGGGTCTGTTTTATTGATTGATTTTTCTCATCATTATGAGTTATATTATTCTGCTTCTTTGCATGCCTGATAAATTTTTAGCCCTGAGCTAACTTCTGCCACCAATCCTCCTCTTTTTTGCTGAGAAAGATTGTCCCTGAGCTAACATCTGTGCCCATCTTCCTCTATTTTGTATGTGGGACGCCACATAATAAGTGATAAGTGGTGTGTAGGTCCACGCCTGGGATCCAAACTGGCAAACCCTGGGCCACTGAAGCAGAGCGCATGAACTTAACCACTATGCCACCAGGTCGGCCCCCCGGTAAATTTTTCTGCATGCAAATACTTTGAATTTTGTCTTGTTCAATACTAGATATTTTTTGTTCCTTTAAATATTTTGGGGCTTTGTTCTAGGGCAGTTACTTGGAAGAAATTCTATCGTTTCAAAGCTTGTCTTTATGCTTTGTTAGTTGGGTCCAGAATGGCATTTAGCCTAGGGCTAGTTGTGGGAATTGTTCTGCCTGATCCTTTCTGGAGGTCTTTCCTTCACCTCATGTTGTTTTCTCATATACATTACTATGGACTGAATGTTCGTGTTCACCCAAATTCATATGTTGAAACCCTAACCCCTAGTGTGATGGCATTTGGAGGTGAGGTCTTTGGGAGATAATTAGGTTTAGATTAGATTATGAGGGTGGGTCCCTCACGATGGGATTAGTGTCCTGGTAAAAGAGGAGACATGGAATCTCTCTCCTCTCTACCAAGGAAGGCCACGTGAGTGTAGGAACCAGGAAGAGGGCCCTCACCAAAAACCCGACCAGACACCCTGATCTCAGACTGCAAGCCTCCAGAACTGTGAGAAATAAATGTTCGTTGTTTAAGCCACCCAATCTATGATGTTTTGTTACAGCAGCCCAAGCTGTCTAAGACACACATTTACTGATGAGTACTGATAAGTACTAAGCTGACTATTCAAGGGGAACCCTCTGTAGATCTTCAGAGCTCTCTCCGTGTGGCTCTTTGCTCTCTGGCCTGCCCCACAAATTCTAGCTGCCTTGACCTCCTCAGACACTGACTCTGTCCTCCAGTCAGAGATCTCTCTGAGTACCCCTTCCCTGCACTGCAGCTGAGAAATTCTCTCCAGGCAGGAATCTTCGGCAATCTTAGGGTTCACCTTGTTTTCCTTCTCTGTGCCGCCTGTTGTCCAATGCCTGAAAGCTGTTGTTTTATATCTTTTGTCTAGTAATTTTGTTGTATAGGGAGGAGGCTAAATCTGGACCCTATTGTTTCATCATGGCCAGGAGCAGAAGTCTTACAGTATGTTAGTAAACTAAGTCAATACTATAGACTCTTAGAGTATGCTCCAGTATTTAGTAGGAAAAGTCTTCCTTAATTTTTCTTTTTTTTTTAAAGATTTTATTTTTTTTTCTTCTCCCCAAAGCCCCCTGGTACATAGTTGTATATTCTTAGTTGTGGGTCCTTCTAGTTGTGGCATGTGGGATGCTGCCTCAGTGTGGTTTGATGAGCAGTGCTATGTCCGCACCCAGGATTCGAACCAACGAAACACTGGGCCACCTGCAGTGGAGCGTGCGAACTTAACCACTCAGCCACTGGGCCAGCCCCCTGATTCTTCTTTTTATTTCAGAATTTTCCCGGCCATTTAGGTCCCTTTCTCTTTCATATGAATTGTATAATCAGTTTACTAAATTCCCTGAAAAAGTCCTGTTAGGATTTGGATTGGGATTGAATTAAATTTATGTAGTAATATGAGATATAACTGATATCCTTACATTTGCATCTACCTTGCCCTTGAATGGGAAAAGTTAATATCATGAAATAACACTTCTCATCTGGTGGATGCTGTCAATGGCCTGGAAGAGGAGAATACATGATACAACTGGGTTGTGCATCTGAAGACCCAACTGAGGACATGTTGGCCAATTTGAAGCTGATAAGTTGGAAGATACAGGAACTACACTGGATGAAAACATTAATGTTCTAAGATTAAGGAGATAGAGTGGTCTCTGGGATAGTTTGTTAAATGAGAAAAAAAGGTGGAGAGAAATATATATAGTTCTCTACCATTAAGGAAGGGGAAATATACATACACATATGCACATACTATGTATGTATACACATACTATGTATGTATACACATGTGCATAAATCCATAACCACTTAAATTAAAAAACACAAAGTTAATCAACTACAGTACAGTTTTAAATGACTTCCTGTGGGAGAAGGAGTGAAAAAGCTGACACAGAAGCTATGCTTTTCCTAATGTACCTTACTTTTAGATTTGACTTTAAAACCATATATATTTTAATAGTTATACATGACACTTAAATTTTTAAAAAGCAATCCCTAAACACTGAAAGTAAAGTAAAACAAATAAACCCAACCCAACTGGAATCAGGTGGCACAGCTATGCAGAGAGAACCTCTTTAAAGTGACTTTCAAAGCACAGAGATAAGACAGCCCATCCCTAGTGGGATATGCACTAAGGGCAAAAAAAGAATTGCAAAAAATATCTTAAGCCGCTCTGAGAAATCACATGTTTTAGAGGCAGTGTGGAGACTGTTATTTTGAGACTGAAGTGTGTGTAGTGTGTGTAGAATGGCCTAAAGTAAATGAGTAATTCTGTTGGGATTGTCAACAACTAAAATTTTCCATTGTGGCAGAAAGGAAATCAGTGAGTTAAGTAAAAACCTGGTAGACTTTAATTTGAATTGGAATATTAGTATAAATTCATGACATACGAAAATACCATTTTCTACTCTGTCCACTGAGAAAGTCTAGAAACAGTGACTAAGCCAGTAACATCAAGCACCCAGATGGTGGTCCCTAATTCCATTTGCCCTAGAAGGCAGCAGGGCCCTTGGGATTACAGCCCTGACTGGTCTAGGGCAGGAAATACACCATCTGCCCTGGAGCCTCTGAGTTTCCTGCTCTCTGTGACCTCAAAGATTTTCAGGCTATGTCCAAAGGACTCACTAGCCAACCTGAAGAGGTTCCCACAGGCCACTGAAACATAAAAATAATAGGTGAAAGCTCATCCACTATGTTTATGCCCACTAGTTCATAACAAAGCAAATAAAACAAAGCAAAAACTTAGTGGTTGCCTTTAGGGGATTCTAGAAAACCAGCTCATCTGAAATCAATCCCTTATTTTGTTTTCCTGCATAACCTGTACCTCCAGGTACCCAGGTGGTTGAAAAGGACACAGTATCTTTGTAGAAGAAACTTCTAAAGCTGCTCCAGTTAACAATGAAGAAGAAATGATGGAATCAAAATATCACCACTCTGCAAGTCCTAACAAATCAATGGATATAGGACTGCTGAACAGCAAAGGGAGATCAGACATCCTGTGCCACCTTCTATTAGGAGTATTTTCCAGAAAATTGAACCCAAGTCTGATCAAACTTCTAGATCTAACCACCAATATACAGAAACTACAGCGGACAGAGGAATACATTAAATGACACCACAGAGGTACAATTATTAAAATTCAGGCTAGGAAATGCTACTGGACAAACAACCCATTTCCTTCAATAATTATAAGAGAAAAGTGTGACAGAGGGGGAGTCTATGATTAAGAAAGGTCTAAAGACCTATCACCACCAACTGCAATTTATGGCCTTATTTTGATCCTGAGTCTAACAAATAAACTAAATAATCATGAGACAATTGGGGAATTTTCAACAGTGACTATACGTTTAATTATATCAAGAAATTGTTGTTAATTTTTAAGATATGATATTGGTATTTCCTTTTTAAAGAAATAAATACTGAAATTCTTACAGATAAAAAAATAACAATCCTTCCCCTAAATAAATACAACACAATTCCATTTATTACTCAACAGTTTTCTTTTTGGGGGGTGGAGGGAGTTGGGTAAAATTATTTTAAAAGCCATATGGAACTATAAAATGCCAGAATAACAAAGAAAAGTATGAAGAAGATAAATAATGAGAGACATACCTTCAACTGAAAGCCACTGTAATAAAAATCACTGTAATACAACCAACATGGTATTGGCACAAGAGTAGACAAATCAGTGGAACAGAAGAGCAGATCCAAAAATAGATCTCAATATACATCATAATTTAATATGTGACAAAGGTAGTGTTTCAATTCTGTGGGAAAGAATGGTTTATTTAATAAATAGTGCTGGCATAACAGGCTATTCATCTAGAACAAAAGGAACTTGTATTCTAATTTCACAACAAATCCAAAAATAAATTCCAAATGGATTAAAAACTTAAATGTAAACAATAAATCTTAGAAGAACATTTAGGTGACTACATGCAAACCTAGGGGACGGAACACCTTTTTAACTAAAACCAAAACCCCGGAAAGTGTAAAGATAGACATATTTGATTATATAAAAATTTAAAACTTTTGTATGGTGAAAGATACCATAAACAAAGTCGAGTCAAAATCTGCATTTAGAAAATATGTGCAATGCAGATAAAGACTAAGGGTTAGTATTTCTTCTATGCAACAAATTATTACAAAATGATGAGAAAAAGATAAACTCTTCCAATTTTTAAATAGGGCAAAAGGTGTAAACAGGCAATTCACAGAATAGCAAATCTAAGTGGCTAATAAACATATTAAAAGATACCCAAACTCACCAGCAGTCAGGGAACTGTAAATTAAAATAATAATGAGACATTACTCTACACCCATCAGACTGGCAAAAACTAAAAAGAATGATATTATCTATTGCAGTCTCATGTATTGCTTGTGAAAATGTGAATTGTTATCGCCTTTTGAGAAAAAAGAATCTAGCAGCATCTATTAAAATAAAAAATCCATATACCCTTTGACCCAATGATTGCACTCCTGGGAGTGTAGCCAGTAGAAATAAAAGAACCAGTACAGAAGGCTACATGCAAACTTGTTTATTGCAGAATTACAGTAGCAAAAACGTAAAAACAAAGTAAATATGGACCCATAAGGAAATGGTTGAATAAATTGTGTGTGTATCTCCATCATAAAATACTATGCAGCTACTAGGGAGAAGGAATTGGAACTACTTCTCATGAATTAGAAGGATTTCTACAAGATGATGAGTGAGAAAGACAAGATGCTGAGAATTGTGTATATTTTGATTCCCAGTGATAAACTAGTATGTATGTATGAGTGTGTGTGTCTGTGTGTCAATGTATATGTTCGTACGCAAACTTCTCTTTGTTTATGATTACATAAGCTTAGGGAAAAAGCATGGAATGCTCTACATGGGGTTGTTAACAAGGGCTATGCCAGGTTTGGGGTCGGGGCTGAGATTTGGGTAGATGCTGGAAGAAGGGTAGAAGAAAAAATCTGATTTAATGTTTTTTTAACTAGCATAATGATATTATATATATACACACATATATATATACCCGTTAATACATATATACATTATATATATATACACATACTATATATGTATAATGTGTGTGTATATATATATATGTTATATATTAAGGGAAAAAACTAGAGTTGAATCTGTATATACATATTTGCAGGGATGTCCATGATATGTTGTTAAATTTTTTAAAGCTAGTAATGTGTACGGTATGATTCTATTTTGTCAAAACAAAGCACATACAAACAAACCTCTGTAACTGTGAGCTGCATAAGTGCTTGTAATGCTGAATGAGCCATGAAAAAGATGCGAAGGGATAAATGCCAGGTTGTTAACATTTGTTACCTCAAAGGGGATTGAGATGGGGTTGAAATGATGGTTAACTTTTTCTTTACACATCACTGTACTGTTTTCTTCTTACAATAGGCTGTATTGCTTTGTAATTGGAGAAATATCAAGGAGAGAAAACAAAGAAAAAAATATATAGTCTTCCATCTAGAGACTATGATATCTTTCATTATATATTGAAGTCGTCTTTTTTTCTCTTAAATAAAGTTTTTTTATATTTCTAGCCTGGTGAGAATTTTGTTGTTATTGTTTTCTTAATCAGGAATGAGTGTTTAACGTTTATCAAATTGTTTCTGCCGTCTATTGAGATGACCATCTGGTTTTTTTCCTTTAATCAATGAATGTCATTTTTCTTTTCCATTTCTACACTCTCCCATGTAGTGTTCTTATCCAGTCTCATGGCTTTAAACCTTACACATATCCCAAAAAACCACAAATTACATATCTCCAGCCCAAGACTTCTCTTCCAAACTCTTAATTCTGAATAACTGCCTATTGACATCTCCACCTGAAGGTCTGATTGATATCTCAAACTCAACAGTCCAAAATGAAACTCATGACCACCCGCGCATCTCCCAAATTCCACCAGACCTCTTCTACCTGCAGCTATCCCTATCTCATGTGAGGACCAGCCCATCTAGCCAGTTGCTCTGGCCCGAAAACGTGGGTCATCTATGACTTTTCTCTTTCTCTCACACTCTACACCCAGTGCTTCAGGAAATCCTGTTCCTTCTACCTTCAAAGTATCTTCAGAATTGACCACTTTCATCACCTCCACTGCCTCTATCCTAGTCAGAGCCACTGTCCTCTCACCTGGATGACTGGCTGTCCTGTGTCTGTTCTTGCCCTTCTACAGTCTGTTTGCAACATGATTCCAGAGTCAGGCCCTTTTAAATGTACACTAGATCACATCACTGCTTTGCTCAAAATCCTGCACTCTCCTCTCCCCGCTACACACTTTCCCCTGCCACTGCCCCCATTTCATTTAGATTAAAACCCAAGGTCCATATACGGGCTACACAGTCCAGTTCCCTGTGACCTCTTGACCTCATCTCCTTCCGCTCTCCTCCTGGCTTACTCCTCTGCAGCCATTCTGGCTTCCTTAAAATCCCTAGAACATGACAGGCACACCACTCCCACCCTGGGGCCTTCACACTCTCTGTTCCCTTTGAATGCTCTTCCCCCAGATTACTGCTTGACTAATTCTCTCCTCTTCTTCTCAAAGAGGCCTACCCTGACTACTTTATTCAATATCTAGCCTCCTAACCCCACACAGCAAATCTCTTTTGCCCCATCTATTTTTCCATTTTCCATAGCACTCATCCTCTTCTCCATACTGAAATGCTTATTAAGTTTACCTTTTATTGTTTGTCCCTTCCCACTAAAACATAAGCTCCAAGAGGACAAGAATCTTATTTTGTTCACTGATGTGAACCAAATGCCTAGGACAGTGCCTGGCACATATGCTGTGCTTAACAGATTGGTGGAAAAAAGAATGAATTGATGAATTGCATTAGCTCTGAGCATGCAGCTCCCCCAAAACCAGCCTCCCAATGCTACGATTCCTCTCTTGCATGTGTTTTGAGCTATGATGTTCTACAAGATTTTTTTTTTTTCTCTTAAATGTGACTCCTTTTGCTTTTGCTCTTTTAGGAATAATTCCAAATTTCTGGTTCATTAATGAAGCTTTTTATTGTTTCCCCACACTGTTATAGATTTATTCTTTTTAAAAGTACCTCTATGGTGATTTCATATGATTTGGTAAGAAAGAAAAGGCAGCTGTGTGTGCTCACTGCCCACTTCCTTGACCTCAAAGAACTGGGAGTTTGTTAGTATGAGTCAGTCTCTCCAAGTCTGAGTGAATCTGATGAACTTCAGTTACTGAACTTTGGGCCCAGATGACCCCATCAACACAAAGTAGGCTTGTGAAGCCTGGCTTGGCCACCAGCTGGCCTTCTTCTGATATCTCGTGCTCCAGCCCTTTAAAAAATGTAACACTGCTCACATTAACCAAGATATTATAAAGTATTTTTTCAATTCAAAGAGGAAATGAATTGCATAAATACTAGATAATAAAAATGAGGTTCTAATGCCCGACACCACATTTCCTTCCTACTAATAGACTCAATCTTAAAATCAAAGATATCCACCCACATCCTTAGGGAACTCATTGAAAATCTTCTGCAGCTGAAAAAATTTCTAATCTCCTTTTACCATGGCTCTACTAGTCAATTAAAGACTTTTCAAAATGTAAAATATGCATTTTTATGTCTGTTTTCAAAGTCACTAAAGACCAGATTTTGACCATTGATTTACATGCTGAATATGCCTGCCCTACGAAAAGAAATTTGGTTAATTTGGGAGTTTGAGAGTGTGCTAAACTATTTTTATCTAACTTTCCCACCAGCATAGCATTTATAAACCACAGAAAGACATGCTTTTTATCCCCTTATTTAAAAATAATTTTATATTCTCAATGCTTTTGGTTCTTTACCTTTATGTAATTTCATGACTATGTTAGATGTGAGGAGGGGCAGGAAATGTTCACTGTGAACCCATTGTCCAAGGCTAAATGTGAATTAATATGGATTGCAAAATAACAAAGCTGTGGCAAAAATTATTATGTTCAAGAATGTGATTTGACCTTTAACTACTACCATCAGCCAATACTGAGAAGGGACCTTGAGCTATCAGCTGAGTCAGCACCCCACCTGTCAACACTCCATCTGTCAACAGGATAAACCAGTTTTTCCAGGTCTTTATGTTCAACCTATAGACTCATGCCCTTGGCCTTCTGCTAAGGATAAAGTCCTATCCCTTTCCCTTAACTTCTCCAAGATAGTCCAAATAGGAACTCCAGTTTGTAAACCGTTGGTATAAATAGCTTCTATTATCTTTAAAAAATCTATGGGAATGGAGGCCTTCATCTTATTTTAAAGTTTATTCCATTGTTCCAGCACCCTGATAGTAAATAAGTTCTTCCAAAACTTTTTTACTTTGCTGTAAACTCATTTTCTCTTAATCAAAATTATTGGACATGGAAAATCATTGCTCATCATCCTCTGTATTATTCTTGGAGACAAGGCACAAGATTTC